TTTTACTAAAAAGATAACTGAATACATTTTAGCCAAGATTTATGAAGATTTGCAAAATTTTATAAGAAAAACACTTTTTTTCAAAATTTTTGGACTTTTTCATTTATATAGCAAAAAGAAATAAAAATCCCAGTGGTGAATAAATACAACCAAAATAAAGTTTTATATCAATAAAAACCAGCGCAAACCCACATAATCAATTGCATTACTCAACTTATTAAACAAACTTAAAAACTGTGACAAAAAAAACACTTTTGTGTTAGTAAAAATTTAAATTATAAAATATATAAAAATAAATATATAAATATAAAAAATTAAAATTCATAAGTCCAGTGACAAAAAAATCCCAAAAACTTAAGTAGACAGTCCCGTGACAAAATAAATCAAATAATAATTAAATTATAATTTTCATTGGATTCTTCCGTGCCTTTGATCCCTTCACCATCCACCAGTGCAAAAACCAACATTAACCGCACTCACCAGATATTAGTGAGTCACACGCCTTTCAGGAATATTAAGGGCTCCTGGACCCCCTTTACTTTTTATGAGACCTCCAAATGCTGCTTCCTCTTATGTCTGGGTGCCTCTTCTGCTTACTCCTCTCACCGAATCCCCCAAGGAAAATCAGGAAGAAGAAAAGACCATAGCGTGATACCGTAGTGGTTTCTCCTCAAAATAATCTCTCCAGACCACTCACATTTTAGCGGGATATAACCCGTATTTTATTAGAAACAACAATGATTTTCTTTCAAAATGATCCACTTTCCAAGTACAGCGACTTTGCATAAAGACCCCACAACCTGGTATTATGCAAAGTCGCTGTACTTGGAAAGTGGATCATTTTGAAAGAAAATCATTGTTGTTTCTAATAAAATGCGGGTTATATCCCGCTAAAATGTGAGTAGTCTGGAGAGATTATTTTGAGGAGAAACCACTACGGTATCACGCTATGGTCTTTTCTTCTTCCTGATTTTCCTTGGGGGATTCGGTGAGAGGAGTAAGCAGAAGAGGCACCCAGACATAAGAGGAAGCAGCATAGCATTTGGAGGTCTCATAAAAAGTAAAGGGGGTCCAGGAGCCCTTAATATTCCTGAAAGGCGTGTGACTCACTAATATCTGGTGAGTGCGGTTAATGTTGGTTTTTGCACTGGTGGATGGTGAAGGGATCAAAGGCACGGAAGAATCCAATGAAAATTATAATTTAATTATTATTTGATTTATTTTGTCACGGGACTGTCTACTTAAGTTTTTGGGATTTTTTTGTCACTGGACTTATGAATTTTAATTTTTTATATTTATATATTTATTTTTATATATTTTATAATTTAAATTTTTACTAACACAAAAGTGTTTTTTTTGTCACAGTTTTTAAGTTTGTTTAATAAGTTGAGTAATGCAATTGATTATGTGGGTTTGCGCTGGTTTTTATTGATATAAGTTTTTTTGGTTTTTGCACCTGTGTACAGCAGCATCTCACGGGGAATTGTGTGTTTAATAGGAGAGTCCTGGGCGCTGAGGTTTTGTCTTTTTTACAAAATAAAGTTTTATCTGTCTCAAAAAAATGCTAAAAAAATTCATATGGGTACAGTGTTGCATGACCGCGCAGTTGTCATTCAAAGTGTGATAGTACTGAAAGCTGAAAATTGACCTGGACAGGAAGGGGGTAAAAGTGCCCTGACTTGAAGTGGTTAAGTTTTGATTCAAAGTGCCTCACTAGAATTATCTACAAAACACTGAGCCTTGGTTCACACCGGTGCAATTTGTCTTGCGATTTGACAGTTGCAAGTCGCACCCTAACGTTGGCAACGGAACTGTTCAAATCGGTGCGACTCCGACAGTTCCTGCACTATTTTCAGCGATTTCAGGGGCAACTTGCATAGTCATCTGTGTATGAAGTCACACCGATGTCAAGCAAGTTGCACCTGAAATCACACTGACCTGCGGCTTTGAAATCGTGCTACTTCAAGTGAAGAAGCACGATTGCAAAGTTGCATTCCGTGAACCAGGGCTTAGGCCTCTTTCACAATGGCAGACAGATCTGCCTGCTCAGCGGAGGGATCTGTCCTGTGATCCCCACTGAGCAGGCAGATGAAAGTAGGCAGAGCGGTCACGGACACAGCCCGCTGTTCTCTATGGGGCAGTTAAATGTAAGTGGACCGCTTGTCTGTTTACATCCGACTGTCACCCCGTCCACTAGACAGATGAAGAACAGATCCTCCATCCATCCGTCTTTAGAGGATCAGATTGGATGCAGGCAGGTGGAAACGGACACATGTCTGTTTACATCCGCCTCCTCATAGAGAACAATGGATGTGAAAAGGGCCTTATCCTTCTGACACCTGTAGCAAAGCGTTATCCTGTGTTTTGATGTGTGCTTGCTTGTATTTATGAGACAATGTCATGTGTAGTAAGATATCTGTTTATCTTCGAATTCTCTAAATTACACCACTGTGTTAATGTGCAGCTCTGCTTACAAGAGGAAGCAGAACATGCACAGTTAAAGCTGAATTCCTTGAACTACATAAACAAACCTGTGCAGTGGGCTCTCCCTGCACTTCAAGCGTTAAATGCTTGATAAGTCCAAGGCAGCATATCCCAACCAAGGTGTCATTCGGGTTCCTCCCAGGATGTAGTCCCAGTTTGCCCTGGATAGGCACCATGAGTTGCTATAGCGCAGATAGTTTGGCTACCAGATCCATTACAATTAATGGCTCTGTGATGGAGGGGACTCCAAGATTGGGGGGACACTGATGAGATGGGGGGACAATAATGTGATGGGGACTCCTGTATAGGGGGTATTCGATGAATAGGAGTGAGTCTGATGTGGTGAGGAGATTTCATGTTTAGGGGAAGCTCTGGTGTGATGGGGCCTTCTGAATTGAAGGGGTGACTCTGATGTGAAGGGACTGTAATATGATGGGTGGAGCTCTTATTTGATGGAGGGACTTGTTGTGATGGAGAGACCACTGACATGATGGTAAACCTCTGATGTGAAGGGAGGACTCTAATATGAAGGGGGGAGCTCTGATGTGATGAAGGGACCTGTGTAAATCGTCCCAGGCTCAGATTTCCCATTGCTAAGTAACATTTACATTTTTAACATTTTAGACTGAGGCGCCTTCGAGATTTTGTATACTTTTAAAGGGTGACGCCACTGAAAAAAAATTGAGAAAGCTGATCAAGGGGGAAGAGAAAAAAGGTTGTAATGCTTTCCTTCTTCACTCCCTTAGCTGCTGGTGCCCTTCTCTCTGACTGTCTAGGTGGTGGATGATCCCTCACCATCCTCTCATACAGTGCACAGCTATTTGTCCTTCATTGTATGTGATGACATCAACTTGTGACTGCCAGATCACTTTAGAGTGGAGTCTGCAGGGATGGAGAAGAAAGAAGGTAAGCATTACACCGGATTCCTCTATCCCCTAGATCTAATGAGTATTTCATTTAAAGTTAGACTCCCGCTTCCCTGTCCGAACACAGATCCACGGACACCACCAATGGCCATACAAGAGGAGACAGCACCAGACTTGAAGGAAACCAGGAGATAGACTGCTTTATTTTAACACAGACACAAGATATAAACATTCACGGGAACAACCCACCTCCCTGCATATAGAAACAGGGCGGGGCAAACCAAATCTAGCAACCATATACACATCAGCAGACACCCCCCACCAAGCCAATACACATACATCCCATAATAGGTTGCTCCAGGGGCAGACTGATCATTTGGAAACTCGGGCACTGCCCGAGGGCCAGGGGTCAGTAGGGGGCCCCATGAGATGCCCCTGAAGTGAACAAAAGCTCATGCAGACAGGCTCTTCAAGTAAGTACCCTCATGTCATGTCTTAGTGGACATCTAAGTAAGCAGTGTTTGTGGCCACTGAAGCCGATGATTAAAATGAAGTTTCCTTACACCCTTTTTCTCCCCAGTGGAAAGTTCCCACCTGGCTGAGACCCCAGACAGAAGTGCAAGGTGGGTTTCAGGAACAAGGGCCCATTCACAGCTAGCGATGTGTTAAATCTATGCACATGCTTTAATGTTCGCTTTTTGCTCATTAACGTGTGTTGTGCTATGACAGCCCAAAACAACAGACATGCTCCATGTACTACGCATGTGCATTAACCCCCATTACCACAATAGATCGCCACCATCTAATTGCATCCTAACTGGAAAGTGGTGGTCTGTCCCCGTGTGTATCATTTGAATAAGAGCTGGGAATCTGTAGTTGTATGTACCATAGAGCACTTCATTATTGTGCATTAGGTTACACGACTTTAATGACAGTCATGCTTTGTATTGGAATCTGGAACACACTTGTACAAAGGATCTCACCCTCTCCAGTGGATTTATCTTCACTCATCTACTTTGCAGATAATTCAGAGGGAATGAGTATCCTTGGGTAAGGGGAGGCTGAAATGGGAAATCATTTTCAGATGTAAGCCAAGCCCGTGTGTGCTTCAGACCTGTAGTTTCCACGCATACCAGCTTTGTGTGGGCTGAACCTCATTAAAATGACAAACTCTGCTTTAAAAAAATCTACTCAAGTATGTATTTTTAACTCAGAAAGTACCTTCTGTTGCTCTCAGCCTCCTCAAAAAAATGTTTTGTTCTGCTGCTATGATCTGACTTCCTGGTAGAGGGTAGCTACATTAGTTCTCCACGGTGAGAACATAGCTGCCCTTTCTAGTCTTTCCCAAGATGAGCTAGGGACTATGGGATTTGTAGTGTGCATAGAGCAGTGCACATGACCGCAACTAACTTGCACTTTCCATTCCAAACAAACAAAAGTGAGGGGGGAAATGACAGGTTCAAGAGCTCAAACAGGATGTTACAAGGAAGCAGAAAAACACAGGGTCCATGCACACTGACAAAAAAAAATGCTGCTCTTAGAGGACTTTAGCGTTTTTGCCCGTAGAAGCAACTTATATTATCCTATGTCTCCATGCACATTATGTCATTAACCACTTCCTGTCCGGCCCATGTATATAAACGGCTGGACCAGGGGCGGACTGACAACTCATGGGGCCCCTGGGCAATAGGGGGATCATGGGGCCCCTGTGTCCTTGCCCAAACTCAAAAAAGCCTATGGAAAAGGTACCAGGGGCATCTCATGGGGCCCCCTACTGACCCCGGGCCCTCGGGCAGTGCCCGAGTTTCCAAATGGTCAGTCCGCCCCTGGGCTGGACGGGATCAGTGCAGGGGCAGGTGGCCATGTATAAACGTCCTCCACGCTTCCCTATTTGTGCATGCTCCCTAGGAGCGTGCAGCACCTCGATCCGGTTGTACAGGACCTCTATTCGAGGTCCCGATCATGTGGTCACTGATTGGCCAATCAGTGATCACATAAAGAGTAGTAAGCAAGATGTCACTTGTGACATCATTGCTTACTATGTGTGAAATCTGTGAATGATCACAGAGATCACATGGTACAAGGCTATTCACAACAGCCTTGTGCCATGTGACAAGCTGTGACCAATCACAGCTCACACAGTAGTTCTCAATGGCAGCCTTTATGGGTGTAAAAGCAATCAGTGTAAAAAAAATAAAATAAATCTTCATCACCCCCCACAAGTAGTACAGTGTCACTATGGTGACACTGTACTGCTAGGGTGATGGTATGTAAAAAAAAAAAACATAAATAATAATAAAAAAAAAATAAAATGAAAAAAAAAATTTTTTGAAAAATTATAATTTTTGGTTATAAACTAATTTGGGCTATTTTTTTGTTATTTATGAAGAAAGATTATTTATTTGCAAAATTTTATAAGAAAAACACTTTTTTTTCAAAATTTTTGGACTTTTTCATTTATATAGCAAAAAAAAAAAAAATCCCAGTGGTGAATGAATGTCAACCAAAATAAAGTTTTATCTGTCTCAAAAAAATGCTAACAAATTCATATGGGTACAGTATTGCATGACCGCGCAATTGTCAAAGTGCTATAGCACTGAAAGCTTAAAATTGACCCGGACAGGAATGGGGTAAAAGTGTCCGGACTTGAAGTGGTTAAGAGGCATATTTTATGTGAAACGTGGCAGAGAAAAAAACTCTTCTGTTTTGTGTTTTTAAGAGCGGTTTTCTGGCAGAAAAAAACACTGAACGTACCTAAACGCTGGTACAAAAAATGCTCAAAATAACGTTTTTTTCCTGCCAAAGGCACCAGCATGGTTTTAAGGCAGTGTACATAGAGCATAAGAAACAATTTCATAAAAAAATAGATTACAGGGCCATTAAGTAGCTGATGTGTATGGATTATTTTTGGAGGATAAGAATATTTAGTGTTACTTTAATGGCTGGAAGGTACATAAATATGGCTGGATCCAGAAAGTATAAAAAAATTAACACAAAAGAAATGCAAGGTTTTTTTTTCTGTATACACGACGTCAGTTAAATATTGTTTATTGGTTTAAGTAGATGTACTTGTGTCATTTTACAACTAGATTAACTATGTAACTATTACAACAATATTATAAAAATCAAAATCCTCATTAGAGTCAGCAAAATTAAATCATTTATTTATTGTTTTAGTATTATTACAAATTAGATGTCCCGTATTTGTATAATGGATGTTTGATCCTGCAGTAACCATGTTTTGTGGCAAGATGGCACTGTAACTCATGTTATAGAAACGAAAGTAAAGTTTTACATTATACACAGTGCTCCAAAAATCCCTAGCTGCATTTACTGTGCTAAAGACTGTTCTGTACGTTAGAAATACATAAATGATAATAAAAATAAATAAACAAATAAATATATATATTTTTATTATTATTATTATTATTATTATACAGGATTTATATAGCGCCAAAAGGTTTGCTCAGCACTGTACATTATAGTGGGGGACAGTACATGAGACAATACAGTAACAAAACAATACACGAGGGGTTCGAGGGCCCTGCTCTTTCGAGCTTACAATCTAGGAGGGAGGGGATAGTGGTACAGGAGGAAGTGGCTGTGGGGGATGGAGTGGTAGGAGGAGTGGAGGAGATCGGCAGTTAGGTGATGGTGGGGTAGGCTTCCCTGAAGAGATGGGTTTTCAGGGTGCGCCTAAAGGTGAGGAGGGTAGGTGACAGTCTGATGGATTGGGGTAGTGAGTTCCAGAGGATGGGGGAAGTTCTGGAGAAGTCCTGCAGTCGGGTGTGGGAGGTGGAGACCAGGGAGCTAGAAAGTAGGAGGTCTTGTGAGGAGCAAAGATTACGGGTTGGGTGGTATTTGGGTATCAGGTCGGTGAGGTAGTTCGGGGCAGCGTTATGAATGGCTTTGTATGTCAGTGCTAGTAGTTTGAATTTAATGCGTTGGGAAATCGGGAGGCAGTGGAGGGAATGACAGAGGGGGGTGGCAGAAGAGGAGCGGTTGGTAAGGTGGATGAGTCTGGCTGCTGAGTTCAGGATAGACTGAAGCTGGAATAGTCTGTGATGAGGTAGGCCAGTGAGGAGGGAGTTGCAGTAGTCCAGGCGTGAGATAATGAGGGAGTGAACAAGTTGTTTAGTAGTGTCTGGGGTTAGGAACGTACATATTTTGGAGATGTTACGGAGGTGGAGCCTGCATGAGCTTGCTAGCAATTGGACATGGGGTTGGAAGGACAGGTTTGAATCTATAGTGACACCTATGACTTTGGCTTGCGGGGTGGGACTGATGGTGGCGTTGTTGGTCGTGATGGAGAGGGTGGGGTGGCGCGGGCTGGGGGGAAAATTTGGAGCTCGGTTTTGGAAAGGTTCAGTTTGAGGAAGTGGAGCGACATCCAGTCTGATATGTCGTTCAGCAGGTGGGTGATACGGGCGGAGACTGAAGGGGTGAGTTGAGGGGTGGAGAGGTAAATTTGCGTGTCATCTGCGTGGAGGTGATAGTTGAAGCCGTGGGAGTGTATCATTTTGCCAAGGGAGGAGGTGTAGATGGAGAAGAGAAGGGGCCCGAGGACAGAGCCTTGGGGGACCCCAACAGAGAGGGGGAGGTGGTAGCGTTATAGGTAACGCTGAAGGAGCGTTGGGAGAGATAGGAGGAGAGCCAGGAGAAAGCAGAGTCTCTGATGCCGAGGGAGTGTAGTTTTTCGAGGAGGAGGGGGGTGGTCAACTGTGTCGAAGGCCGGAGAGGTCAAGGAGTAAGAGGACTGAGCAGTGGCCATTAGCTTTGGCGGTTAGCAGGTCATTAGTGATTTTGAGTAGGGCGGTTTCGTGGAGTGTAGGGGACGGAAGCCAGACTGTAGTGGATCGAGGAGGTTGTTGTCAGTGAGGTGGGAGCTTAGGTGATTGTAGATTAAGCGCTCAAGGAGCTTGGAAGTGAATGGCAGCAGGGAGATGGGTCTAAGGTTGTTCAGGTCAGTGGGGTCCAAGGAGGGTTTCGTGAGTATGGGGGTGATGTGCGCGTGCTTTAGGGGGGAGGGGAATGCGCCAGTAGAGAGGGAGAGATTGAAGATGTGGGTGAGGGAATGTAGGATGGAGGGGGAGGGTGCCCGGAGGAGTTGTGTGGGGACAGGGTCAAGGGGCCAAGTGGTGAGGCGTGCTTCTGAGAAGACCTTGGTGACGTCCTCAGTGGTGGCAAGGCTGAAGGAGCGGAGTGTTGGGGGGGGGGTTATAGTGTGCGGGATGTTAAGGGTGGTGGGGGGCAGGGCGGTTGCGAGGTCAGAGGAGGGGGAGAGTTGGAGGGGTTGTAGTGGGAGGGAGGCTAGGTGGGGAGGTAGGTGGAGCATTGGCAATGTTCTTACGGATTGCGTCAATCTTATTTTGGAAGTGAATGGCAATCTCGTGGGCGGTGAGTGAGGTACTGGGTGGGGGGTGGAGGGAGAGAGTAGGGAGTTGAAAGTGGAGAAGAGCCGGCGGGGATTGGAGGAGAGGGTGTTGATGAGGGATACGAAGTAGGTTTGTTTGGCGGCGTGGAGGGAAGAGGTGTAGGTGAGGAAGGCGGATTTGTAGAGGGAAAATGCTTGAGGTCATTTGGTTTTGCGCCATAATCGTTCCAGCGCGCGACTGTGTCGTTTAAGATTTTTAGTGTGGTCGTTCTTCCAGGGTTGAAGCGGTCGGGGTCTAATGCTACATGTGGTTAGGAGTGCTAAGGAGTCTAGGGCAGCTGATAGCGTGTTGTTATACGCAGCAGTGGCCAGGTCAGGGCATGACAGTGGAAGGATACTGTCGTACAGACAGTCAGCTGCAGAGTGGAGAGGGGCCAGGTTCAGGTTGCGGAGATTATGTCTGGTGAAGGTTTTACGTTTGGGGGGGAGGTGTTAGAGGACAGGCAGATGGAGAAGGTAATGAGGTTGTGGTCAGAGAGAGGGAAAGGGGTGTTAGTGAGGTTGTGGGGGGTGCAGAGATGGGAGAAAACGAGGTCCTGGGTGTTCCCGTCGGTGTGGATGGAGGACTGTGTGCACTGTGTGAGTGCAAACGAAGAGGTTAAGTGGAGGAGTTGGGATGTAGCCGGGTTGTTGACATTGATAGGGATATTGAAGTCACCAAGGATGATGGTGGGGAGCTCAGAGCAGAGGAAGAAGGGCAGCCAGGCAGGAATTGCAACTGAAATACTTGCACAAAAGCCCTGATGTGATTTTTGATGATCTTACTGTTCTGCAGTTTTTATTTACTAGAAATATGCATTGAAATATCTTGTGTATATCCTATAGGCACATATGTATTGTTTAGTATTATTTAGGGCCTTGCAACTAGTACAAAACTGAGGGCCCATTCACAACATGTGTATTGACATGTGCTGTGCAAGCCTTTTCTAACGCAGTTCCAATGCATAGGCAAGCCAATTTGCCCTGAGCGCTGTAAGTTCAAGCGGTATTAAACCAAAAAGGAAATATTTATTATATTGCAGCTTGCCAATTCTTAGATGTGGTGCTTGCATTAGTTTTCTTTGTTTAGGCTTTCTGTCTTCTATTTTCATCTGACGATCTGACCAGTAATACCAAATTAAAAAAAAAGAAAAAAGCGCCACTTACAAAAAACACCAAAATTTCAGCAGCATATCCCACCCAAAATAAATTTTGGCAACAATAATCCTAATTAAAAGGTATGCGCTAATAACAAACTTATACAAAGGTGTATATCATCATCCAAAAAACATTAGTGTTTTAAATAAATTATAGTGTCCAAACATAAATTAGTGTCCAAAAAATATATATACTGTATATCTTCAGTGACTTGAACCAATTGTGAAAAATCCACCACCAAAGGAGATTAAATGAACTCACCAGAGC